GGGGGTTAATATAGTTTACAGGGCTAATCATCGAATTGAAGATTATAATGGAGCTCGAAGAGGAAATTAGAAGAACCTGTATTGAGAAGGCCATCCATAGAATGACAGTAAAATACTACTACAAAAGAATGATACCTTATTGATTCTACTTAGCCCATCAATAGGCTCCATTTTCTTTACATCGGTTAAGCAGGTTTCTGCAACAAAATAGATGAGTCAATAATTCAGAATATATGATCAGAGGTAACATCCTGGATACTTAATAAACCTGGTATCCATATCGCACAAGCTAGGTGAGCCCAACGCCCATCTGTGGTAGGCTTCATAGCACCTCCTAGAAAGGAATTTAAGCAAACAGTCAAATACTATTAATAGCTTGCTTGGGAAGTGTTTATAAATAGATAGAAATGAGTGGAGGATAAGTATGTAGTACTTGCGAGTCCCACAAAATGTGTGCATAAAAATTGGATTGACCCTCTTTTGACCGTTAATAAACAATTTATAAGCACTTGCCAAAACATATGCTAAAGCTTCAAATAATTAATCAAATGAATCTAAAGAGCTAAAATGAGAACTGAGAAGAAACAGCTAAAGTACCAATAACAGGACATAGACAGCATGGAGGAGAGAATTCAGGAGCCCCTGGACGACATAAATTGCATAACCAAAGAACACCACCAACAGGCTGTAGTTCCCCATAGCATCTTGCATGAACCTGAACAAAAATTGCTGAATGTAAAACCATGATAGAGAAATACTAGAGAGAGAGAGAGTACTTTTCGATTCCAAAAACAACCCAATATAATGGTGAAACACCAATGCAGATGTGAATAGCCAAAGTGCAAAATCATTATATATTGATGCTTCACAAGACCACTAAAACCCTAGGATAAAATAAGTCATTTGCCCAAACAAATGCTCTCACTGCTATAACATCAACTACCAATTGCAGCATATCTGTCGACTGTCAGTAATAAATACAATTTCAGCATTTATTTTTTCTAGGTTACTGTTTGTTTTTCACCAAATATATATATAATTGTATCATTATACTTCTATAACTAGCCATATCGAATATTAAATAATCAAAAATATTTACAATCCATGGATATGATTAACAAAAGACACGTGACCTTTGTACACTATGAATATGTTTCAGAATCATAGAACCAAAAATACTTTTAAGCATGTTTATTGATCCAGAAATCATGGAGGTACTTCCCACAAGAAGCAACAAAAAATTCAATCATCTAAATTCTCCAAAATTAGGTGTTGACGAGTCCTCTCAAACCCAGATTCAGGCCATTCAAGCTCGGCTTAATATTGCATATTAAGCTTAAAAGTTGCTCAAGCTTGGCTAGTAAACAATTTGTTCCGAGCTTGAACAATCTCTTATCAAGTTAAATAAGAAGAATCGAACTCAAGAAATTTTGTTTCTGTATACAGTATTTGGTATCTCTTATCAAGTTAAATAAGAAGAATTAAAACTCAAGAAATTTTGTTTCTGTATACAGTATTTGGTAGTTTCTGAGAAATTCCATTGCTCCATCTGGAAAAGTTTACAAGATGAAATATGTGTTCAAACCTGGCTCATTTAAACTTACAAGCCAAGCCCAATCCTATTTACATCCCACTCAAATTTTAGATTAGATAAGTTAAAGTGCTGAAAGTTTTCAAATTATTCTTCTGAAAGCTTAGCACCCAATTTGCAATGTAAATATAATGTAAGATCTCAATGCTTTATTCTGTAACTTCAGATTCATTGCCAGAAAATGGGACCCACTCACCCCCCAATGACAGTCACAATCAGAGAAAGATAGTAGACAAAATTTAAACAGGTATTTGAAAGCAGGCTTACCATCATTCTGCATTTGTCACACTGCAGAAATAAATTATCATCATACTCCTGAAACAAAAGAATCAATATCAGTAGATTCCAACCTTTCTGGAACTTAAGTTTGCTATATAAAGTCAATTGACATCTTTCTAAAATATGAGGAAGGGGAAGGGCGAAAGCCCTACCTTCTCATGCATTTAGATAAAAATAAAAATAAATAAATAAATAAAAATTGAAAGTGAAAGAGCCAACTCATGCTTAAGAGTTGGAAGAACAAACTCAAAGTTTACTAGAAAGGCAGATTTTCACCTCATCCATATGGCAAACATTGCACTTATCGAGGTCCTTCCATTCAACATGAACAGGCCTGTAACCAACAGGAAGGTCTTTGTACATTCTAGATGCCAACTGATAGGATTTTAAGGAAAGTCTGGAATTTGACAATTCCTGTAAAAGCCAAAGAAACCATAGGCAAAGGGGAGATATCAGAGAGATAGATTAGACAGAACAGATTATTACTCTGAAATATAGAAATGACTACCCAGGAAAACCAAAATTCCAACATAAGATTTGCAATAAGGAGTTACCAACTATAATCTAGTTAGTTATTAGGTAGAGGAATTAACAGTCACACACATGGCTATAATTTGCCTCCTTCCCTTGTGTTAAGACACATCCAATAAATACATGTACATGCACAGACAGTGGTATGATTTTGGAAAATGCAAGACTTGGCAAATACTCATTTATCACCTCATACCCTATTTCATGCAACAGAATTGAACACATCGACAATGAAAGAAAAATAAACCATCTTGTGGAAAGATTCAAGAATTGATAGCACTGACAAACCTGTATCATTTTCGAAACCTCAGGGTGGGTAAAACCGAACATATCAGAACCCGATTCAAGCCTTTGTCCAGATACAACTTCAGCTTCCAAACTCCTAGTTCGCATCTTCCTAATCCTTTTGTATATTTTATTCCAGCAAGCAGACGGGGTGGATCCCTTGAACTGTTAATAAAACATGATGAGGTGAAAAGGTAAAACTAAATTAAGCAGATGCAAAGCTAGCCAGCAATGCTAAATTCATCAGAAAAAATAAGTGCTAGGAAAAAAGTCAACAACCAATTAAACTAAGAAAACATTTGTACAGTTTCATGATAGAGAAATTATGGTAAGAGGATTGCTAATGATGAAATTATGACTTCAAGAAACTAACACAACACTGCTGCTGGAAGTAGAGAAATCCAGAAGACAGTTAAAAAAGTGTTTTCTTTAAATAGATGCTATTCAAATGGAAAATGGGAAATTACAACATAAGAGGATGAGTTGTCTTTGAATAATGTAAAAAAGGATGAGTAGCCTTTGAATAATTAAAAAAGGCAATAGAAAAAGTTTCTTCAGACTAAAATGTCACCTGGAAGTCCCTTAGGTTCCTCAGATGGCATTCTCTACTAACTTCAAATCACTATTAGCGTTTTGGAAAGCGTACATTTATCAATTATTTATTTCTTTAGAAATGAAATGTTGACTCTCATTTAGTCACCGAAATTATACCATACGCGTTTTTAGTATGGAAAACTGATTTCAAATTTATATAGACCTTCAAAAAGTATAAGCCAAAGTAAAATCTCAGAACCTAAAAGGCATAAAATGTAACGTACATAGGAGGCAAGAAACAAAAACAAAAATAAACAGCAAAAGACAAAAGACAAAAGACAAAAAGAGAATAAGAAACTAAAAGCTAAAATCAGGGTGAGAAAATCAGAGAATAGGTGTAAGAAATTCCCAAGGAAATTATAGTAACAAATATATGTTTTTAAGTTGACATCATAGCATTATTGAATACCTCCTCCCCTTTGTCCGATGTAACTCTAAATAGAGGCTGGCTTCTTAAGTCAACATCTCTCATTACTTCCATCTTATATAAGCTACAGACACTTGGATCTGAAGTCCAAAAGGCAAGAAATTGGAGTCAGGTTTGATACATGGAAAATGCAATAGTTTGGACAATCTGAATAACTGCTCGCCTGTTATTGAAGGAAACTTCCTTACAGCAGTATATCCTTCAGGCCATATTAACTTCTCCTTTTGGAAATTATCTGAGCCTTTGACAATCTTTCCTGCATGAAATAACATTTTCATATTATATTAAGGAGATAAGTTCTCAATCCAATGAAAAGGGGATTATTCTCATATACATGTATAATTAAAATACCATTACTGAACTATACATCTATGTATATACTTATCTTCCTGTCTGCTGCTGTCAAATCAGCTAATAATGCAGTACTCTAAACAAGAAGCAAGGGAAGATCAGGATGGGCGAATGATTTTGATACTATCGTATAAGACAGCCACAGCTAAATGCAGACCCTCGTTAATATGAAATTCTCAATCCAATGAAAAGGGGATTATTCTCATATACATGTATAATTAAAATACCATTACTGAACTATACATCTATGTATATACTGATCTTCCTGTCTGCTGCTGTCAAATCAGCTAATAATGCAGTACTCTAAACAAGAAGCAAGGGAAGATCAGGATGGGCGAATGATTTTGATACTATCGTATAAGACAGCCACAGCTAAATGCAGACCCTCGTTAATATGAAAGCAGAGGGGGATTGAGGAAAAGTAGAAAAGCTAAGCTCTGATATAATATAATGGAAAAAGAGACAACATGCATGTGTGATGCAAGATCATTAAATCCAGAGCTATCTTTCATCAATCCAACAGTACAGCAATTCATAGTATAGAGATTTACCAAGGCTTATTACTTGCAAATCCCCAACTCCAAAAGGACAGCTTTTAAGGTCTTCAAGTTTTCTTCTAATTTCACCATTACCCATCAAGTCTTCAGCGGCCGATTCAGCACCACCTTCATCCTCTCCCATTTCATGATCAGAGTTATCAGCCTCAACACCGTTCCGTAGCTGCCGCATCCTTTTTGGAAGCTTCTGTTCACTAAGATACCTGATCAAATGCATTTACTTCAGTTAGTTTAATGCCAAAATTTCACTCTTCCTTTAATCAGACAAAACACATGAATATCGATAATAAGAAACACATAATTCATTTTATACCAAACTTCCATTACATAAGAACATTAAAAAATTCTCTAATTATATATGTTCTTTCAAGTGACCCAAAACAAAAGAAAATACTGTAACTGATTACAAACAAATAATCTGAATAAAAACAAGCAATTAGGGTAACTAACTACTATAAAACCTTCTGTCAAAATACGTGCCCCGTGGGGAAGTATATCTACATATTCACAGATCAAGAACCAAAGTGTGCAGCAGAATTTGGGTTGATAAAGAGCAGAAAGAAACAAGATAATCTCTGATTAGTTGATTGAATGAGAAAGATGATTAGAAATAGCGTCCATAACTCTTTTCAAATAGATTTTTGCAATAAAGCAAACGGAAAAAGCAGGAAACAATTAATCAAGATAAAGATAGGAAAAAACTCTTAGTTACGGTGTCTCAATCATTTTCAATGATATGAACCTGTCTCTTTACCACAGTGAAAAAATATTGGTCATGAATAAAATCTTTTGCAACTAAAAGTGATTGAAAGGGAGTGGCATTATTTGCCAACTTGGAAAAGGGAGAACCAAATTTATTTCACCAATATCTCAGTTTTTCAACAAAAGGTTATCTTTGCTAGTCTTCTCAGGAATGGTAAAAGTTCCCTTCTTTTCTTGTTCTAGAATAGTTCCTAGAGGTTTCAATATTCTTCTAATAGACACTTGATGAGTGTAATTCACTCATTGAACTAGCATATCTAAAATATAGTTTCCTGTTTGTTCTTGAGCACTTTTGAGCGTTTTGATGTGTTTTTTCATGTTTTTTTTGTAGTTTAGGTAACTTCGAGAAAATGACATATTTCAAAGCTTGGAATGGAGCTAAGTTGTTGATGATGGAAGTGGGCATGGAGTGAAGATGGAAGTGGGGAAAAATAAAGGGAAATACAGCTCGAGAGGCAAAGGAAGAAGAGATTGATTGAGAGCTAGAACGACAACAATTAGGAGGAGAATTGAAGCGACAAATCAGTTTTTCTTATTCTTTTCTTCTCCATGTTCTTTCTATTAGATTAGATTATGCCGTCTCTTTTAATTATGAACTAAACATCTAATCCAGGGTTTGATGTAACCAAAACTTGATAATATAGTTTGACTTATTTTAGTTATTTCTATAAGATTTTTCAATTCAGTTTATTTGTGTTATTGATTTAATGCTTTTAATTAATTGGACACTAATTGAATGATTTAATGCAAGTCAATTTTGGTACTCGATGGAGAAAAATTTAAGCTTGATCTTAGAATAACACAACCCAGGAAATTATAGGTTTCGAGAGAAAATATAATTCCTTTAAAACATGTTCCACTCAAAAACCAAGAACTTGATAATTTCTAGATTTTAATTCGGAATAAAAATATTGGAATTGAAAGATAGGAAATAGATTTTTTTACTCGACACTCGAGAGGGAGTAAAATTACATTAGGATTCTTGCTTATAAATTTGGGAAAATTGATTAGAAATAATTATATAATTAAGAATCATATTTGATAGTTAGGTAAAATCATAACCTTAGGCTTTCTCATCTTGATTATTCTTCTAACTTGCATTGACGTCATTGAATTCGTCACCATGTTCATCATTAAATTAGTTTAAATCATTGATCTTATAATTCGATTTTCTAAATAAAATAAAAGCTATTCAACTATAGTACTTAGTATAAAATTGATATTCAATCTCTGTGAGTTCGACATCCGTACTTGATCTTATATTACAAAACTTGACACCGTATACTTGCAGTATGTTTACGTTGCAGAAAACGCATAAACACATTCATGAACTTGTCACTTTGATTCAGTTCTTTTGATTTAAGTTGATCTTGAAAATATTAGAAAGGATGATTTGGAAATTGCCCATGCTTGGAAGGTTGTTCCAAGACTCAACTATAAAACCATCATCTTGTTAGTCTTTGTAGCATTGAAGATATGTATATCAAGTCTACTTTTGTTGAGAGATGTTATTTTTCTCTTAAACTATATATCTCCTTGGTGGATTCAATTGAGTAGTATTTTCTTTATCCCATATACCCTTGATAGATTTCTTTTTAGTGGTGATAATTATATTCCTTAATATCCCAACTCTGGTGGTGAGATATTTATATATTATCCAATACGTTTCCTTCGATCTTCTTTCTATCCAATGTAGAAGTGCACGAGCAAATCCTGGAAAGGAACAGAAGAAAAGGACATGACACTTTCTTTGGTGCACAATTTTTTCAAATTGGACCTATTACAATGGTGAAGATGTAATATATAGGACCTCAACGAAATACAAATTGTAGTCAACAAATAGGTACGTGTCTTTAGAGACGTCAGGTATGGAACTTAATATTATAGCCATGTAAGTATATTCAAGACCAAGAGAATTCCTTCTAAAGAATCTTATTATATATTTGAGGAAAACCTATGACCGTGTGCATTTGTACTCTCAATTGTTTTCTTTCCCTCCAATTGTTAAAAGTGTGACTACGTGTGTGCTTCGTGGGTCTAGAAACTATAAAGCTGAAATGCAGTGCCTCAATAAATCAGAGAGGAAAGACCACATCTTATCACAAATTTGGAAGTTTTAATCATATTTCATGGACCAATTCTGTTTTAGTGATGAAACTGAATTAGTTGCTGAAATACAAAAACTAATTCAACGCCTATTTTCCTCAAACTGGTTTTGAATAAACTTATTTTTGCTATAGTTTACCAAAGTTTTTAGAATTTCTAAATTTTGTTGGACATGATGCATATAGTTTTTCATCCCTATATGCTGCATGTTGATGGAACAAAGCCCTCATTTTGTGCTTTGTACTTAAGCCTCGAGAGGTCTTGGCGCCTCGGTGTGCTTTCTGCAGTCTTCTCCAGATTGGTATTTTCCAAACCCCTTGTTAAATAAATTATAAACTTAGAAACTTATCTGGTACTGCAAAGTGGCTTCAGCAGAAAAATATTGTATGCACAACATATTCAAATCAAATACATAATTGATGAATAGAAAGACCAAAAATTTAAGGAACTCAAACAAACATATCTCACATTTTTGCTTCCTCCAAGCCTCTAACAAAATTTTGTTTCTTGCACTTCAGGTGACAGGAAGAAAGAAGCCCTTTAAGGAATGAGAGAACTTGTTTTCTTGGAACCCTGAACATCAACCAAATATTTATTGAAAAAGAACTACAATCCTGATTATATAACTTTAGTAGTATATATTAAAAAATAAGTTCCTAGGAGTTTCTATAAAATATAGTACCTCGCAAAATCATGGGTACCGAAAAATTGCACTACGACAGATTTTTCTCCAGAAATTCGGTTTAGTCCTTTGTGCTCAACCTTAAGAGATTCATCCAGAATAATTGCTGGCCACATAGCATGCCCTGTAAGCAGACAATATAATCCTTTCACAAATAAACAAAAACTTAAGGTAGTAGTCTGTACTAGAAACCTGTATTTGAACCCCCACAAAAGACGAATATGGATAATTAAACCACAAATAAATACAGAAAGCACCTAAAAAATAGAATAAGCTCCCAATGAACTAGCAGTTTCCTAGAAGAACCTACGAAAATACACCACAAGATTGTACATCAGTTGTACCCCAAGAATGCAGTATTATTTTCTACTTATATAAACGAGGGGACAATAAAGCTAATAATCGGATTTGCAGAAACCAACTTATATGAAGACTGAAATAGGAAGCTTATGAGGCTTTTTGATGTCACTATCTGGCATCAATTACATAAACTTAAGGGGAAAAAGAAATTCCATAAAGAAGTAGGGCGATCGATCCCACAAAGAGTCACTTCTTTACGCTTGTTCGGCTGGGCACTGTCTCGGAGAGAAACAAAATGATTTTTGAATTGTATTCTAGAAAAATTTTATTCACAAATAAAAATTCAAAAAGAGCAACTAGTTATTTTGGTTTTTTACTAGCGGCTTTAACTATTCACTCGACAGAATCCTATTGATAACCGGCCTATACAAAGGTTTGTTTGTTGGAATCTTATTCTGTCAGAATCTTTTTGGAGGCCCCACAACTTCATGTCGGAGCACAGGATTTCAGATTGGACAATCTCAGGGAAGTTTAATCATGATGTTTTAATGTCTTCTTCAGTCTAACAAATGAAACTTCTTCAGTCTAACAAATGAAACTCATTGGTGTCAAAGAATTAACTCTCTTCATCACCTTGAGAAATATTTTAAATTAGTCCAAATCTGTTCCCTTGACAATAACTAATGAGTAAGGTCACATTCAAAAATATAACTGAGAGTTCGTGTTCTCTTTCTTTCTGGAGCACAGGATTTCAGATTGGACAATCTCAGGGAAGTTTAATCATGATGTTTTAATGTCTTCTTCAGTCTAACAAATGAAACTCATTTGTGTCAAAGAATTAACTCTCTTCATCACCTTGAGAAATATTTTAAATTAGTCCAAATCTGTTCCCTTGACAATAACTAATGAGTAAGGTCACATTCAAAAATATAACTGAGAGTTCGTGTTCTCTTTCTTTCCTTTTTATTTGGTAGCTAAGCAGTTCTAGAGCACCAAAGTTGAGTATTAATTTTCCAAATTACAGTTGTTACTAATAGAAATTTATTTAGATGAAGCCAGTGAACCGTGCGAGGCACTCGAAGAAAGCGGGGACTTTTAGGTTAGTCTGACCCCCCACATTGCTTCTCCATTGTAGTATTCCCAACGGTGGTGGAGTATCTGCTGCCCATTATTGACATATTTATTTTTGCTTAGGATAATTAGACAAGATTAATTGACAGGATTTTAAATGTGCCATATTCTTAATCAAATAGCCAAAACCATATATTTGAAGAGAACTTAAGAGCACGACTGGAGACATTCATAAAATTTATAATAACTACAGTAAACGAAATAAGACTGAGATTAAATCATGGATTGGTGCACTAATGAATTTTGTTTCCAAGCTTGTTATATGCTACTTAATTGAAAAGCTAAGCACCCTGTTAAAGAAATCAAAGCAAATTTAAGAAAAATAAAATCAGATTATTGACTATCAAAATAATAAAAGAAAATAAACTCCACCATAAGAATCCAAGAAACCCGCCCATATTTTGCCTTCATTTTCTAATTGAATTTACTTGGAAGAAAACTACCATTAGTTCTTTTACTTATCTTTTTCATTCACTCTCCAATATTATAGACATCCAACATTCTTTGGTTATGAACCTGAATTTACAATATAAGCTTGTAGTCACATTACAATTTTAGGGCAGGGTAAAATAAGAGATGAGGTTTATATTTGATCCTCTAAATCCTAGTACAGCAGGAAGCTTCTTGCTATACCAGCTTTTAACTTTCCTCCGTTGGTACAAGACATATGGCAGGTGGTATACAAGAGTCAAGAGGCTGAATTAAGTTTTTCATTTTACTAGAATTTTCATATCTTAAATATGAAGAGCTTAATGGGAGGCAATACGAGTTGAGGCTTTTTCCCGTTCTATTATTCTGATCCTCTAAATCCTAGTACAGCAGGAAGCTTCTTGCTATACCAGCTTTTAACTTTCCTCCGTTGGTACAAGACATATGGCAGGTAGTATACAAGAGTCAAGAGGCTGAATTAAGTTTTTCATTTTACTAGAATTTTCATATCTTAAATATGAAGAGCTTAATGGGAGGCAATACGAGTTGAGGCTTTTTCCCGTTCTATCATTCTAGCATGTCGGGTACTTTGAGGCAACAACAATCCTTTTTTGCAATTATCAGACATGCAATCATGTTTACGTGTCTTTCTTCAACAAATTTATGTTTAGTTCTTAGCCATCTGGCCCATCTCCCCTGAAGGATCTAATCGAAAGCTACAATATGATAACATTCGCATTAGAATTAAGATATTTGCTTATTTAGTGACAGGATAACATTTACAGCACATAACTACATCAATTGTTATGGTTGATTGATGGACGATAATCTATTATTATCTTTTTTATTACTACTAATTTATGTTGCAATACAAACTGTTGAGACCATGCTAGGATTGACAAGTCCAACAGATTTCAAAGCATACTAATCTTCCAAAGCAACTATACCAATATAATCAAATCACATAGTCCGCCTGAAACACTGAACATGTAATTTCAACCTTGAGTAAAATCAAAACCACAAAGACAGGTACCAGTAAGTTTTGCCCAAATTATATCTCCGGGCTCAAGGTCGTGGCATTCATCCAAATTTGCAGCCAATGCCACCATCTCATTCACGTCAATTCGATCAGCTTCTAAGCTCTTGTCACAGCATTTCAACTTTATATTTTGCATCTCTTCAAGAGATAAATAGAACTTGATTCTTTCCTTTGCTAATATCACATTCTCCTCATCTTCGTCCTCATACTTCACCTGCATTGCACTCCATACATTGCCACCTTGCTCTTACTATCAACATGCGCAAATGCAAACTATATATGCGAAAGGTAAAAAGAGTGTTACATGGTGGCGTCCGGTCTCCGGAATGTAGTCAACTACCCGACCAGAATACCACTCTCCTTCCAGTGGCCAATAAACCTGTTCCAATTGACTCTCAAATTACATTTAGCAACAATTCAAACATAAATACAAGAATGCACACGACTATAAACATTCACTCATATAATCACAATGCACGTGTACACTTTTATATGCACACAGTATATTCATCCAATTACATATATAAATGCCATAATTCTTTTATATGCACACTATAAATCATCAACTAAAATAAATAAATCTATACAGTGTAGCAGACTTATATATGTCAATAAAAAAAAGATTACAAATGCACCTACATGTATCAACCATTCGTGTGTCTGCACTTGAGTTGAATAAATTTCTTACCTTGCATTGTAATCCTATAAATTTATTTGGATCAGCACCTTCAAAACTCAACCTGTATCCCACAAAATACAAAAATTCAATGAAATAAACCAAAACAATGATTGGCGAATTGAAACCAACCAAGGCATCATCGAATAAAACCTACAAAATAGAGTAAAACATACCTAACCCATTTCTTGGTCAAAGCCCCTGAATTCTTCAACTCGTTTTCAAAATAATCACTATTTCTACGCTTCCTAATACTGTCACTATAATTAACTTTACTACAGCAGTTCCTATTTTTACTGAATTTACCAAAACCATTGTCCAATATTTGTAACCTAAGCTGATGATTTAAATTACTCAATGCATTACAATCAATCCCCAATTTGGTTAATTCAGTGCTTCCCATCCTCCTCCTCTTCTTCTCCTTCATTAACCCTTCGTCACCCACAGACTTCTCAACGATATCACTTTCCTCTATTCTTTTCCGGCGCCGAGAGTAAAATCGGGTCATGGGCGGCCTCATAGGAAGTGGGTTTTTTGGGTTATCGCGATCAATGATTTGGGAGACCATATCCGGTTTATGTGACGAGTAGAACGCAATTCAGAGAAGTTTTTCTTCTGTAAGCGCTTGAAAAATGAAGGCTTAATTTTATACTCTCGTTTTCTTCTGGGCAGGATAAATTGGCCGCAGGAGAAGCTGCATTGAACTCAGGATGCTGATGGGATGGGTTTAATTGGTTTCCGCTGTTCACAAGTGATGACAGGAGAGGTTTGGCACTTCAACTATTACATGTGTATTCCTAGGACCCATCGGATATTAGACTATGAGATGTCGTTTATAGGGAGTGAGGAGGTTTCGAAAAACAAAATTAATAATCTACAATCGAACAATTTCGAATTGTCCTTGAATCTTGAATCGGAATCATGGCTATCCAAACTTGATTGAATCTCGATTGTTGAATCGAAACTTGTACTCAACAAAGAACCCCAATTTGCTCTTTTTATAATTTTATTTTTATCTTTTTTATTTATTCACGACGATGGAATGTAAATGAAAAGATACAATCGATAGAAAAGTCGACAATGTTGATTGTTATGATATTTTCAAAATGATGACTTTATGTTATATTTAGTTTTTGCATAATCTAATACTTATTATGATTTTTTGACGTATATTTGGTTTGTGTTTCAATTTTCAATTTTTTTTATTCGTTTTCTGTTTTAAGGGCTTGTTTTAAGATTTTCAAAAATGCGTTTGATTTGTCATTTCAAAAATTTATTTATCAAAATAGAACACTTGAAAAACACGTTTGATTTAAAATTTTGAAGAAAATCGTTTATTACATTTTATTTTATGAAATTTGATTATTCAATAAAAATAGAACAATCTTATATTTTTTTCTCGTTATAAAAATAAATAATAAATTGAGTTCGAATATAATAAATAAAAATTAATAACAAGGACAGAGAATATTTTTATACATCGTGTTTATTTAAATATATATATTTTTTAGAATTTTATGTAAATAATCATTAAGAACTTAAACTATTTTATTTTTTTTATTTTTAGAATTTTATTTTTTAATTTTAAATTATGCCCACGTTTGGTCCCTATTATTTCATATTACAATGAGTGAAATAGTATTTTTTTTTTTTTTTAAAGAATGGGTGGTTGAAAAAGAATGAAAAAATTTTAATTTACGTTTAATATTATTTTATGAAAAATTGTGTCGTTAAAAATATGAGAGTGAAAAATAAAATTTAATTTAATGAATGCCAAATGTGAGCAATATTGGTTAGCATTTTATATTTTTATTTTTTGAAATTTTTAATTTTTAAAATTTTACTTAAAGGCTTGTTTTCAACTAAAAACACTCAAACGTCAAAAATGCATTTTGCGTTTTATGTTATAAGTTATTTTTGTTTTTGAAAATGCATTTTCAAAAATATCATATCAAACACGTTTTCAATATTTTACAAAACTTAAAAAAAAAAAAAAAAAAAAAGGAAAAAAAAAACCCCCCAAAAATTTTAAAAAAATTAAAAAAAAAAAAAAAAAAAAAGGCAAACCAAACGCACCCTAAAATTTTATGTTTATTCCTTGAATATATAATTTGATGGTTATATTTTGTTAGATCTTGAATTTTACTTGGTGACATGTTTTGGTAGATATTAGATGCTACTATGCTATAGGATGTTATGAACATTTTACATTGGATTAAGAAAGTACTAAGTATTGTAAAACTATAAGATAATATTGATGATTATGTAGTTTTGCCATTATATATGGATAAATCTTATCAAGTTTAGAGAGTCATTTCGTTTCAATTATAACATTTGTTTTGAACCCTATAAATACGGTTCTTAATTCTCAATAAAACATGCAAAACCTTTGACTTCCCAGATTGATCTCTCTTTCTTTTTTTTTAAGACTTATTCTAATTTATAATACGTTGTCAATACGAGTCTCTAAACTTTTTATGTATATATACTTGGTGGTTGCAAGTTTGTCAAAATCAATTTTACAATTTTTTTTTTCACTGTTGATTTTAAAAATCTCATTATCAACCACAAAATTCAAATCATATTACTCCCACGTTCATTGTCCATTCCCCAAAAATGAAAAATCAACTCCATTTACGCATTATGCCCACATAATCCTAACCATGAGTTAATTATTACAGTGCTGTGAAATTCATGTAACGTACATCATTCACTTACTGGAGACAATTTACGTATGATTGTCTTTTTAATTATTGGCTGACGTGCATTTCATTTTATGCAAAAGCATGTCTATGCAAAAGCATGTCTATATATGTTAATCAATCAATTTAATGTACTTGTATCAATATTTGATAATTTTTTCTTTAATGCATGTTTGGAGATTTTTTATGCCTTTAATAATGTATTGGGGAATGTTGGAGATTTTAATTACGCCTTGTGTGTGTATGGAGATTTTTTCCTAATGTATGTATGGTAATTAATATTTTTTAATATGATTAAATAACTTAAAATTTTTTAATGAAAAATGTATCTCATTGTTGATCTCAAAGAAGCACAACTTTGTAAATAATGCATGGCTCCGGAAGAGTTAATGTTTTTAAATAATAAAATATTATTGATCTTGAAATAACACGTTCTTATCAATATTCTAGTTAGATTTTACTTACTCCTAAATAACATAATTAAGTATAATGTTTTTAAAGAGCAAGTCTTTACATAATTTATATTTTAAATAATAATAATAGATTATTGCTCATGATATTAAAATTATAATATACCAAAATAATATTGATATATTATTTTTGAAATAGTAATAATACAATATATAGTGTGTTTTTAAAGTAGCACATTTATCTAAAAATATATACCATGTTGTATTATCAAAGAAGGACAACACTGCAAATATTAACATTTTGCTAAAAAGCATACTCTTGAAGAGTAAATATTTCTAAATAATAGCCGGTTAGTACTCCTGAAATAGCACAATATTATTAATATTTTAATGTTAATTGCTCCAAATGAGTACAATATTACAATTTCAATATTTTCAGAAAAATACTGATCTATTTAAATGGACACATATTTATATGTTGATATTCTAATTAAATCTTACTTGACCCCAAAAAGTATAATTAAATACGATCTAACATAAATTTTATTTTTACTCCTAAAGAGTAAATCTTCATACAATTTATTATGACAATATTTAATTACTAGTGAAGAGCATGAATTATAATTTTCAATATTTCAAAAAAATATTGACATATTGCTTTCGAATGAGCAGTAATAAAATATAACGTACTATCGAAATAGCACATATTTCGAATAATATATCATTTTTGATTGATGTTTTCTCCTTGAAGGAAAACGTATAACAAATGTCATGATGACATTGATTAATTTGACTGCTTGGATGATGTATGATTATATAATATTTAATCATATTATTTGAAATTAAATAATTAAATTATATCTTATATTTAACCAAAAATTTATTTTGACTTTGTTGTTTGACATGTTCGATAGGACCAGCACTAGATTAATAATGCGTGAAATATCTAAATTCAAATGGGTATTAAATGAAAAATTAAAAGATTCTTCAATCTAATGAAGTCATATTTCTCTTTCACAAAATTTTTTCAGTAACTATTATAAGTAAAAATAGAAAAATGAAATCTCTACATTTTCGAAAATTAAATAGGGTAATAAATAAAGCTCATCATTCTCCACGTTGACCATTTAAATATTTTGTATCTAATGGATTTGATACAAGTAAAAAGATGATTGTATAGTGTTCGCAATCTAAAGTTTACAAAATTACTTCTCAAATTATGAGTAGATTATACAATCAAGACGATGTGTCTTAATAATACTAGTGATGAGTGTAATTCATTTATTAAACTAACGCCTCTAAATCACGGGTTTTAGCATGTTCTTGAGCACTTTTGAATATTTTAATGTGTGTGTTCATGTTGTTTTGCGGCTCAACCAACATTCGAGAAAATGTCACAATTGGGAGCTTGTAATGAATCTAAAATGATGATCATAAAATAGGGGCATAAATTGGAGATAAGAAAAGAGGATTGCAATGAAAAAAAAGCTTAGAAGATGAACGATTCAAGGAATGAGCAGTTTGTTAGGCGCTGCAGTGCCCAACAAAAAGAGAATTACAGCGGTAAGCTGGGCGCCACGGCGCCAGCACACAATTACATCGCGGGGCCAGAGATGGACGCCACGGCGCCAGACCTCGCAACACAAAAGAGTCCAAATTTTTGGATATTCCTCGGCCCAAGATATTCCCCAACCATCCAAAACTCGAAGATAATATAAATATCAAGATTAAAAAATCTAATGGGCAGCCGTTTTCTGAGATTTTTCTCTGAAAAAAGGGTGCAAAAGTGAAGATTCATTCAAGAGGCGAGAAGGAGAAATTGAATTGCATCAAGATTGACAACCAATTGGGGAAGAACAAGGGGCTTAAATCAGTTTTTCTGAACCCTTATTTATTCTTTCCCATATTCTTTATCTTGTATTTTGGCATGTCGATCGATTCAAGCATGACTAAATTTGTAGAGCTAGGATTGATGTAACCTATTTGAGACATGATTTGATTTTAATACAGTTATTTCTTTTAGTTTTCCAAAATTTATTTGTGTCGTTTTGTGCTTAATGCTCTCAATTGCCTGATCACCAATTGAATGAATTGATGCTCTAAATTTGACGCTCGAGAGAGGGAAATTTAGATATGATCTGGAACAACATAACTTAAATTTGTAGGTTTCGAGAGAAAGTGAAATCTTTGAGGGGTAAATCAAGAACTTAGAGCTTTAATAATCTTTATATGTTTAATTCGGAATAGAGATATTAGGGTTAAAATATAAAGATTGGTTTCATTGGCGCTCGAGAGAGGGGATAGAATTAAATTAGGGTTTTTGCCTATAAATTGAGAAAATTCGATGGGAATAGCTATAGAGGTTGAGAACATGTTGATAATATGGTGAAATAAATCCCTAGATATCCATAGTTTTATTTGATTTTTAGAAATTGCTTCACTTTACTTGCATTCTTTATTCCATTTAAATTAGGTTAGCATGAAAACATCATTTAAAAATTGGAATTGTCTAAATAAAGTGAAAATCGAAATAATTATAGTACTCAGTTGAATTTGACTATCAATCCTTTTGGGTTTGACACTTTTAAATTCTTTACTATATTATAAAATTTGACATCATACACTTAGGTTAAATCACGTTTTATAATCGCGTGGCAACTAGTGATCCTAAATCTCAAATTTTTAATAAGCTTTAGTTAAAATGTCAATAAATGGTTTAATAGTATTATTTATTAATCGCCTTCAATTAATTCAATTGAGAACATAATACTTCCCATTTTCTAGTTAGATAATGTTATTACACATCATACAAATA